GGTTCTTCCTATGGTTCTTGGATTCTCAGTTTGGGTGCAGTTTCTTGGCCTTTATTATGGTATTTTTGGTTTTCTATGTGTAGGACATCTTTAAGAATCTTTTGTAGGGCTGGTTTGGTGGAGATGTATTGTTTCAATTCTTCTTTGCTATGGAAGGTTTTTATTTGACCTTCAGTTATGAAGGAGAGTTTAGCTGGGTACAGTGTTCTTGGTTGATAGTTGTTTGATTTTAGGGCATAGCATACATCATTCCAGGCTCTTCTTGCTTTGTCTCTGCTGAAAAATCTGAGGTGATTCTAATTGGTTTCCCTTTATAGGTGATTAATCTTTTCTCCTTGACAGCTTTAAGGATCTCTTCCTTTGTCTGAATTGATCCTGTGTGCATTATAATGTGACATTCGTATGTCCTATTCCTGTCTGGTCTATTTGGAGTTCTAAAAGCTTCTTGTATCTAAATAAGCCTATCTTTTTGCATGTTTGGGAAGTTCTGTGCTAGGATCCTGTTAAACAAATTTCCTAGACCATTAACTTCTGTTTCTAGGTGTTCCTCTATACCCATTATCCTTAGATTAGGGCTTCTAATGGTGTCTTCCAAGTGTTGGATAGATCTATGATATTTCTAGGAATTGTCTTTGATGTTTGTATGTTCTTTCTCTATAATATCTAGGCTGTCTGCAATCCATGAGATTTGATCTTCTGCATGTTCTAACCTACTGTCAAGATTCTCTACTTTTTTATTTCTTTCCCTTCTAATTGGTCAGCTTTGTTGGCTTCAAATTCTTTGTTGGAGCTTTGTTTTAAATCTTGTATGAACTTCTTTACTTCCTTAATTTGGTGTTCAGTGTTTGTTCTCAAATCACTTAGTTGATTGGTTATGGTGTCCTTGGACTGCCATCCCTTCTGTTGGGTTCCATTCAGCATTCCCTTTGTGTTCTCCCTGACTTCCTTCAGCTCTTTGTTAATGGATTCCATGAATGCCTTTAGTGATCTTTGTGTATTCTCTGCCTGTCTCTTCCTCCCATTCATGCCATTCCTGTAGTTCTCTTTGAGTGTTCTCAGCCTGTTCACGCCATTCCTGCCTTTCTCTTTGAGTATTCTCAAGCTGCTCATGCAAATCCTGTATCAGTTTTTGAGTAGCTTCCTCAAGCTCATGATATTCCTGTATAATCCTTTGGATTGCCTCCTCTCCCTCCCTCTCATGCTCATACAGAGTCCTTTGTAGGTCTTCAATCTTTTCCTGCATTGACCTTTGGTTTGCCTCCTCTCTCTCCCTATCATGCTCATACAGAGATCTTTGTAAGTTTTCAATCTTTTCATTTATCATGTTTTCCAGCAGTGTTTGTAGAGCTGTTTGGGAACTCTCCTCTGGATTATACATGATCTGTTCTGTCCCCAGATTATAATGAGTGGGAGTTGAGATACCTGGACTTGCCATTTTTCTTGTGTTTTTCTGACTTACTCTGCGCATTTGGGATGAAAATAACACCAGTTTTGTGCTAGAACAATATCTTAAGGCAAGCATCAACCAAAGTCTGAATTTGCACAGTCAATAGTCTGAAGATACAATCTAGTTCAACAGATACATCTATTCAACATCAAACAGCTATATATTAATGGGCTATGAACCACAAAGAAGAATTTGGAAAGCCATAAATTATTAGGATTAGGGAGAGATGTGGGTAAAAAATAGGAGTAGAGTATTGTGGGAAGGCACAGGGAGAGTTAATTTAACTAAGCCCTATCTCAAAGCAGGAAATAGGTTGGGTAGGATGAAAGTAGAGAGAGAGAAAAAAAGAAGAAAGAGAAAGTGAAAAAAAGAGACCAGAAAAAATAGAAAAGTAAAATTTAAAAGATTTTATGCAGAAACTATTCAGAGAAGAACGTGAATATAATGAGAGAATGGGAGCGATATAGAGGAGATATGAAAAACTTAAAAATAAAAATACTTAAAATATGATATAGGTATAAAGAGTTAGTACTGCTATTAAGGAATTTAAGTCTCAGAGGGTTTGAATTGAGTAATAAATTTGTTGATTAAGTGTGTACACAATGGGAGTTTAGGTCTAATAATCTATTATTGATTTATCTGAGGATGCACAGAACAACAATTAAGTCACATAAAGAAGAACTAAAGAGAAGAAAAGGTAAAAAGGGTAAGAAAGAAATAAGAAAAGATCAGAAGTTCAGTAGAGCTAAACAAAAAACAAAAAAAATTAAAAAGAAAAACACACACACGTATCCCTAAAATAACAATTATAAGAGAAAAAAAGTTACTAGAAAACAATTTTTTTTCGAAAAAGGTAAAAATTAAAAAATGTTTTAGAAGAGAAAAAAAGAGTTTTTTTATAAAAGTTACAAAAAAAGAAAAAAAAGGACTCTGGTTTTTTTGGGAGGGTTGGGGAAAATCCTGTATCTTCCTTGTGTCTGTAACCAGCCTCTTGTTGGAGTGTCTGGTTTGCTTGTGATCCAGTGGCTTGGTTGGTTTATTAAGTCAGTTTGGTTGAACTGACAGAAAAATGCTCTGCTTTACCCAGGATTTTGCGATCCTCCTCCCAGGTTAATTCAATGGGAGGGAGATCTGCTTGAAGTATCACAAAAGAGGAAGATGGCATTTTCCTCAAGTTTGGAGATGCTGTGATGAGGCTAAGTTCTGGGTAGAGTTGAGGCCTTTCAGCAAACAGTAGCTTTTCCCGGGGGCACACTTGGTGTGATTCTCTGGCTTAGGACTGTTCACTGTAACTCTAAAACTGCTTTCTATGCAAGAGCTTGTTTAGCCTCCAGCTTCTCCTCCACCATCTTCCTGGAACTCCTCAAAAATTGTGTTATAAAAGGGAGAATTTAATCTCATTCTTTTTCTCCTCCTTCTCCTTCTCCTCTTCCTCCTCCACCTCTTCCTCCTCCTCCTTCTCCTCCTCTTGCTTCTTCTTTGCTCAAAGACTCCATTTTGAGCAGGTTAAATATATTACACAAATACAAAGCCATTTTAAAATTAGATGATTTAAATATAATCTGTTGAACTATGTAGTTAACCATTCTAAAAAGATTAAGAAATAGATAATAGTTGTATAATAGTGGAAAATATTTAAAAATTCCACATCTATTCATGATCATTCTAAAGGTATTCATGTCAAGGAAGGCAGAAATAATGAAAAAATATCTTAGTGGATTAAAATATATGTAAAAATCTATGACAAATTTCACACTCCGGTGGTGAAATCTTTTAACATTTTTTCCATAACACTGTATTGAATGCTGAAATATTCACTATCATTTCTTTACATACAAAATTATTAAGTGTGTCCTCCAAATTCTATAAAGCAAGAAAGAAAAGAAGATATTAAATTGAGAAACAAAGTAAGAAATTATCTTTATTTGCTGATGAGTATAAAAAGTAAATTATTAGAAATAATAAAAACTATGTAAAGTCTGTGGAAACACAGTGAATAGAGAACCCTTTTAGATTAAAGGAGACATAGCTACGTAAAAATATGTCCCTCTTCCTGAATCAGAACACAACATCATTATAATTTTCTCTAATTAGAAATATACAATTAACACAATGCAAAATAAAAACCTGTAAAAGAATATTTAAAGTAGGAAATGTAAATCTAGATTTCCCATCCCAATTCAATGAACTCAGGATCTCTCAGAAAATCTTAAGTTCAGAAATCTGACATTATGTATTCTGACTTTTCTTCTTTGCTTTAAAGCTACCATGGTCCAACTCCTTAATAATAATAAAGAATTGCCAGGAGCTAGAAACTGTTAGGTAAATTAAATCGACAGCTGAGGAAAGAGTGCAACACATGGAATTCAGGCAGGGGAAAGGTTTATTTTGAGTTGTAGGCTGCCTCTGGTCACCTTGGAAGTCCACACAGCCAGAAAAAGGGGGTTGAACCACAGTTTGGCCAGGACTTATAAAGGCCAGGGGAAGAAGAAGGTGTGGCCACACTGGATGGGGATGTGAACTCAGGGAGGGGAGGTGGTGGCTGCCTCCAAGTGTGCCAGTTACCTAGATGATGTGATGCAGGTAATGGGTGGAGACTTAGCCAAGGGGATGGAGGAGTCTGCTCTGCTTTCCCAGGGCAAACGGCTCACTCCTGTAATCCTAGCTATTCAAGAGGCTGAGATTTGAGGACTGAGAATTGAAGTCAGTCTGGAAAGGAAAGTCTGTGAGACTCTTATATCCAATTCAACAATAAAAAAGGCAGAAGTGGAACTGTGGCTCGAGGGGTAGAGTGCTAGCCTTGAGCACAAAAATCTCAGGATTAGCACCTAGGACCTGAGTTCAAGCCCCAGGACATGCACATTTAAAAAAAAAATCAGGAAACCAATCCACCAGTGTACAACTTGATGATTTCTAACATAGCAATGGAGTGGGGAGTAGATTGCTGTAATAATTGTTTTGCTGTGGTGTGTGACTTCTCTCATCATTTACTCCTGGAAGCTATTTTCACCAGTATTTCCTGTAGAGTTTCTGCATGAGGAGTCCTCACGAAGATGTAAAGTTAGAAGAGTGTGCTTTAGAATGCACTGAAATCTGCAGCAGACACTGAGGTGGAGGGGAGGATTGAAGTCACCTGTCAGGATTTACAAGCAGTTGAGAGCATTGGCACCCACCCCCGGGTGTCTAGACAGGGCAAGGACCTAAGTAAGGAGACCTCCAGTTTCAAAGGTGGATCATCTGCGGTTGAGGAACGCCAGAGAACACTCTATTTGTGTGGTTAGCTTTACTCTGTAATGTAACCAAATCCTTGAATGGCAGTATCTTAGAATACAATTTGTGTATTAAATATAACCAACTTGGATTATCTGGCTTCTTTCTACTTTACTAATGAACTCCAGTTAATACTCTCCCAGACACCTCCCACAAGACAATTTCTGTGATCTATTGAATCAGGAGAGGCAATAGCATGTTTGTACTACTGCAAACAGAGAACTAAAGTAGAAGGAATTCTGCCCAGCCACTTCTACCAAATCTTCCACTGACCCTCAGAAATTCATCTTAGAAGCATCATCAGCAGGTAGAGGTTGCAGTAGCAGCAGCTGGGGCAGCCAAGTCTCTTACTTCTGCTTTCCTTTGAGGTTTTTGACATGACTTGTATCACTGTGGGAGGATAGCTGTCATACTGTTGACAGTAATAAGTAGCAAAATCTTCAGGCTGCAGGCTGCTGATGGTGAGAGTAAACTGTGTCCCAGATCCACTGCCACTGAACCTGGATGGAACACCTGATTCTAAATTAGATGCTTTGTATATCAGGAGTTTGGGAGCTTTCCCTGGTTTCTGCTGATACCAGGCTAACCAACTGCTAATGCCCTGACTGGCCCGGCAATTGATGGTGACTCTGTCTCCTGGAGATGCAGACAGGGAGGATGGAGTCTGGGTCATCTGGATGTCACATCTGGCACCTAGCAGTGGAAATATAAAAACAATTACTGTATTGATTATCATGTAATAAGAGGCCTTTATTGAAGTACCAGACAGCCCTGACTGTATTAGACTGGGTTGGTTAATCCCCAGCATTGTCCTTCCTTACCTGGAAGGCAGAGCAACAGGAGTCCCAGGAGCTGAGCAGGGGTCCTCATGTCCATGCTGTGTGCTGACTGGGACTGACAGCTGCACAGGGTGTGAGCAGCCTATGAAGAAGTGTTCAGGGCAGTGGGCTGTGCTCTGGGCACATGGAAATCAGGAGGTTGTGGGCAGGTCTGGGCACAGCTGCAGGGTTGGCTCAACTCAGTGAGTCACCACAGGCCTTGCTTCCACAGGTGTTCCAAACCTGACAAGAGAAACAAAAGTTTGTTTGCAGAATGTGTTTGTCCCTGGAGAACATTTGAAAATAGAAGACATTTTTAAGTTTATTTTCAAAATGTATCATTCACAGAAGAAAGTGATGTTACCAGTATTCCATAAATATATTGAAACAAATTCTTGTTCTACTTAGATCTTTTATGCACTCTCAATAATTCTGTCTGGGGAAAAACCCACTTTGTTTTCCCCATACCAAGTACTTATATGTTGAAAATTGTTTTCTTTCTTTTTCCTTTCTTCCTTCCTTCCTTCCCTCCTTCCATTTAGTTTTTGTACTTTGGTCTTGAACTCAGAGTCTTGGTGTTGACTTTAGCTTTATCCTTCAACGTTATTGCTCTACTACATGAGGCACACATCCATTTCTGGCATTTTGGTTATTAATTGGATATAAGAATCTTATAGACTTTCTTATGTAGGCTGTCTTTAAGCAACTATTCTGATATCTCATGCTCAAGAGTATGTAGGTTGATAAGTATTAGCCATACCTAGATAAAATGATTCAACTCTGTATCTGTTTCTGTTTCTCTCTCTCTCTCTCTCTCTGTACTCTTTCTGAGGCATGGAATCAGGACCTAAGTTGCATTCCTAAGACTTTGTGCTCAGATCTAGCACTCTGCTCTACCACTTTAGCCACATCTCCAATTGAAGGTTTTGGATGGTTAATTGGAAGTAAGAGTCTCATGGGCTTTCCTGGTTGGGCTGTCTTCAAACTGCAATCCTTGAATTTCAGCTTACTGAGTAGATAGGATTATATATGTGAGGCACAGGTGCCCAGTGGTTTAATTTCTTTTTCTTTTCTTCTCTTTTTTCTTTTTTTTGTTTTTGTCAGTCATGGGGATTGAACTCTGGGCCTGGGTGCTGTTCCTCAGCTTTTCAGCTCAAGGCTAGTGTACTACCACTTCAGCCACAGCACCACTTCTCGTTTTCTGAGTGGTTTATTGGAGAAAAGAGTGTCACTGACTTTCCTGCCGTAGCTGGCTTTGAACCATAATCATCAGATCTCAGCCTCCTGAGTAGCTAAGAGTACAGGCACAAGCCACCTTTCCCTGGCTTGTTTAATTTTTTTTAACTAAAGATATAGTATGAAACACATGGAATGTATTGAAAAGTATTTTGTGGTAGTTTTAGTCATGGCCACTACAATATAAGCTAAAGTAATTTTACTCTGATTTTCAATAATGACTCACACAAATTTGGAACTTCTGAAACTTTAGGTGCCTTCTATTCCGAGTATGTAAATAGAGAGTATTTCATTCTAATCTGACACCTCTCAAATTTTATCACATTTATGCCATTTGATATTACTTTTCACCCTTCACCAGCAAGAAGTGGTAAGTTTTGATGCTGGATATGATTACTTCAGCAAAAATCACAGCTACCCAGGCATACATGCTTCTATCTTTATCCTTTCTTAATGAGTGGAAACATAATGACTGCCCTCATACCAGTATAGTTATTTGCATCTCTAGGAGAAAAATTGCATCCCTTGGGGAAAGAGAGTGAGAGAGTAGGGAGGAGAGAGAGAGAGAGAGAGAGAGAGAGAGAGAGAGAGAGAGAGAGAGACAGAAACAGAGACAGAGACAGAGACAGAGAGACAGAGAGAGAATATCCCTTTCCCTTCCATGGGTCAGAAAAACATATAGAAGCCAAAGGGTACAGCAAAATAAAACAGAAAAAGAAATAGAAGTGATAAAAATAGAAATAACTGCATACAGAATGTAACTAGACAAAGGATCAACTAATGCAACAATAATACTCCCTGAATACTATGTTGGAAATGAACTTTACAATTTGTAGGGGGAATGAGTGGGGAGGGGTAAACAGGAGAATAAAAGGGAGTGGATAACAATGTTTAAACAGATATGTAATCATTACCTTTCTTATGTAACTGTAGCCACCCTGTTCATCACCCTTATTATAAAAAAAAGATTTTTCAGAGAAGTCCACCATTGATCATCTGAACATATAACTTCTGGAAAACAACATGAAATAAGAATGTCATGGCAAAATATGTCCCTGAAGACACATCTTGGATCTCGATAAAGCATGGATAGAACTTTGATCAATCAGATAGCATATCCTGCTGTTTCCCTGGAGACTCAGCCTAGATTCAAAGCAATCTTTGCCTTCATCATGCACACCCAGAGTCTAGGAATTCTGAGAGTCTTAGTGACACATCACAATGCATCTAAGTAGAATGAAGAATGCAGATGCCATGAACATCTTACTGTGGTGAGGTTGGAGCAAGTTAGGCCCAATAGGTGACTATAAAATCATTTTTGTAGTTATTTATGTGGTTTCAGCGATTGTGGAGATGTGAAGGCTGAGCTACACATTCAGGCACTGGAATAAACTGCAGAGATTTGGATCAGGAGTCTCTGTCCAGGTCTGACACTCTTGCTCTGGGCTATAAAAGAAGCACTTACCTTCGAGAGTCATAGAGCTGAGAATGAGGGGTAACAACAGCCCTGACTTGGGGTGACCTTGGATTTAGTGAAGGAAAATGCTTACCACCCACTGGAATTAAATCTAGCCAAAAGGCCATGACCAGGGGGAAAGACAGAGTCATCAGAAGCTCAGAGTTTTGCCTGCTCTGTGGGGCTGACTGAGTTCCCTGCTGTTCTCCTCACTCATGAGGAAAGTCAACAAATGTCCCTCATCCACAGTCTCCTCTCAGTCAACATATCTTCTCCTTAGCCACATAAGGAGGACATGTTGATCAATGATCAAGTGTGTACCTTTAAAGTCTATTGTGAATCTTGTTCAGTGCTGAGGATTCTGAGAAACTGGTTCTGTGATAGCACTAAAATTTCAAACTCCTTCCATCTCCAATTCCTTCTATATACACTCAATTATCTCTCACCTGAACCTTTTCGAAGGTGGGGCCTCAGTGTGTTCAGTCCTACTGAAAATTCACAAGGCCAAGTCATGGTGACTGTGCGCACATGGCTTGACACACCTCAGCTGGCAGGGCTTGTTCTCACACATCCAGGTCTATCATTGAACTGGAGTTCTCACTCCATTCCCAGAATCCTAGTGAAAAGGAGTGTCACTATCAGGGTGTGCTTATTACAGATCAAATAAAGTAGACAATATTCAGAAACACACACATGGAGAGCCATGGCAGTGTGAGTAGTATCTCAGGCAAATGGGCACAATGATACCAGTTAAGGGAGCCTGCCAATCTCAGGTTCCTGTTGACTCATCTACATCTTTCAAGATCTGGACTCTGGGGCTTTGTTGATTGTGAGATTGGCTTGCCCTCTGGTGGCCACCTTGTGACATAGCAATCTTTAGGATTTTGAGTTTGGCATACCAGTTTCTAAACTGTGAATCTTTGCTCCAATATTCACAAAGCTGGTTCTATTCTGTCTGATTCAAGAACAGATTCAGTAGGAAATTCAAATGAGTCATCTTCTCACACATTTCACAGCAGTTCAAAAAATATATGTTCACCATGAATTCTAAGTGTTGAATAGCTACAAGGTAGTTGGTGGATTAGGATGTGTGTTCCCTATGCTATTTATAAGATGTGGTTTTGGTAAAGAGGAGGGGATTCTGAGTGCCACTGAAGGGTACACTGATGGGCTGATGGCTCTGCCTCACATCTTACAATCTTGCCTCTTGCTCTGTGTCACAGAAACCATTCCACCTCTCGCTGTGTCATGGTGCTGACAAAGGGAATCAATTAGCTGGGAACACACACATATCTTTGTTTTCAACATTAAAGGCTGTCTTAATCATCTCTTTCCTTATGGAACAATTGTAGCAGTTCCCTTGACTTGCATTTGAACTGGACTTTTCAACATTACGATCACATAGTTGAACTCAGGAAGCACAGACTGCTCAAATCTTAGTGCCAGCTGAATTTTGTGATTTTTGCCAGGGGCAGAACTTGTTAATATCATCGGCATGAACTTGACTGAATTATTAAAAAGATACTATGACATCAGATCAGAATGAGGAAGTAATAATATTTACTAGACCCTTAACAGTAAAGCTTTTTGGGAAGAGCAAAGGCCCAAGAAGAGCAGACACTTCTGAGTGTTGTGGTCAACCTGGAAATCGTTTTCTGGATTGTTCCTAGAGGCAGATCATGAAAGGTCTATGCTAAGGGAGAAAGGAAAGGATGGATATCAATGTTATGTAGAATTATGCTTCATACTTTAGTATTAAAAATACTGAGTTTATTTTGGTGTAGTTGCTCATAATTGCAAGCTCAACTACTTTGGATGATAGAGATGAGAAGGGATGAAAATTTGAGATCTATTTGATAGATTGCTCCATTGATGTGAAATTTTGTATCAGAGTAATGGGAAAGATACACTGAGAGCATCTTAAGCATTGGATAAACAACTATAAAAGGGTTGGAACTTCTTAAAAGTGTGAACTCACGTGGAAAACTTTCCCTTGAGAAAAGATCTCATGTAACATGTTCAGAGAAGGACACTTGGAAGGTCATTTCACTGAGATTCATTTCACCAGAATCTCATGTGCAGGTAAGCTTGGGATACATATAGACCTGAGGAAGAGTAAAGAACACCCAGGAATAAACCCGCATAGCTATAGCCATCTGAATTTTACCAGAATCAACCATACACTGGAGCAAAGAGAGTCTGTTCAAAAATTGGTGATTAATTCACTGGGAATGTACATATAGAAGGTGCAATCTTCTTCCCTGATCTTACCATTACAAAAATTAATCCAAAGTTTATCAAAGATACGAATGTGAGATGTGATACTTTGCAATTATTATAGGGAAATCCTTGAAGAAAAGGGCACAGGTAATTATTTATAAACAGTACTCCTGTTGTCCAGGAAATAAGGGGAAGAAATTATATCAGGGACTGGATCAAATTTAAATGTTTCTATTTGCAGGGAAATATGTATAATAATTTTAAGTATATATATATAAGT